AATTGTCGTCGCAATGGATCGAGCTCGGAAAAAGACCAATTTCACATCAATCCTTCTTACCAACAAACGTACGTGACAACAACACAAAGCGTCTAGCACAAGATTGTGGCTTTGTACACAGCGTAGTGTACCAGAAAGTTCCTCAAAAGTGAGGCCGTATCATCCTGAGTACGGAATCCAAGGTGGGCAGTTGTCCTTTGCTCTACACTCCGAAAAGGAATGGAGCGAACAGGTCCCGTAGAGAAGCGGGAGCTCACCTTCTGGAATCTTGGATCTTGCGGAGTTGAAGGTGGTTGACTGCTGCCTAGCTTCTCGTTTCTTGAATGGGGCGTCGTAATAGCTGGAACGCTGTTACCTGCTATGGCAGGTATGGGTGACTGGAGACGAGAGTGGTATTCAGCACCTCATCATCATTGTGACTGTTTGTTAATGTTTGAGGACGTAGCCCCGGTCTGTAACGCACCTTGCAACTGAAAGTCGCCGTCAGGCTACTTAGTCATGGTGCTTCCCCTACGAGCGCCGCGCCAGAGTGAAGAAATTCACCATAGCCGGTGTTGTGTTAGGGTTACTAGGTAACCTAGTTCGTTACCTCGTGTTCGCGCAGGCGCAACGCGGCGCCGCTGGGAACTCTACGGGTCGCCTCTCGCTCGTCATAATGTCATGTGTTTTATGTTTTGGTATGAAGAAAAACAGGACTGGTTAGCTTCACGCTGGGGCCAAGTCCCACGAGCAGCGTTGAGCTACCTCAACGCCTGAATCTGGACTCTTTTATGGAGATGTGCAGAAATGGTGTTGAGTTCCCTGAACTGCACGTCTCCACAAACACGTACAGATTCAGGCGTTGAGGTAGCTCAACACTGCTAGTGGGACTTGGCCCCTGGGCCCGGTTCCCAGCACGTGCTGCTCCCCACGAATAGACTGGAGCATTTGTACCAAAATAAAAAACAAAACAAATGCCCGACAAACCCCTCCGTGTACTACTGTCTTCTCCGTGTACTACTGTCTTCCCTCGGCTACGATCATTTAATTTATGGCTGCTTGTACACAGCAACTTACCCCAAATACAGCTATAATCACCGTGATCCTTTCTATTCGAGGGAAGCCAGCAGCAGTATGCGAAGTCCATATTTGATGGACCCTTTTTTTTTTTTTTTTTTTTTTTTT